AGTAAAGAACTTTCAATATAATAATTAAATTTATATTTAATATAAAATTATTAAACAGTATAATATTTAATAAAAATTATACCAATGTTATTAACTTTTTTATTTTGAAAAACAAAATGAGCTAAGGCACCACCAACGACAAAGAAAAAAAAGAGTCATGTCATGATCAAATTCATGCTCCTAAACAAGTGTGTACCATGGGTGATTGAATTCACATCCACCCTTGATGAGACTTAAGTTATTGGGGAATCAAACTCCACCAAAACATTATAGAAGCTCTAAAAGAGAAAAGCACGGGTCCTTGTGAATGCCATGGATCATGATCACAAAACATACTCTTATATTTCAAGAAAAGATTTTTGTATGTAAAACCATCCATGCACATCAACCACAAAGAAGTTTGAGTATTATTCACAAAGATATTCTCATAACTTGAAAGTCATATTTAAAAATCTAGTCTATTAATCTATTTAAAAATTTATTTTATATTAAAAAATTTAAATAAGTCAATAAATTAATTTTAAGTAAGTTAATAAATTTATTTTAAATATATATATGAGTTTTTTTTAATTTGCTTGATAAAAAAATAGTTTACTCCATTATTATTAAAAATTAGATTTTAAAATAAAAATAAAAAATAATATAAGAGGGACAATCCATACATACCTATATACACTAACATATACTCTTACACAAACTATGACAAAAAAGGATAATCTAATCTAATGAATTTATAATACAAAAAATCAAATTACATGATAAATGTAGTGGAAATATAAAAAATATTGATAATTTATTTTTTTAATAATTTTTTTATTTCATTATATTTTTAATAATGTAATATGCATATTTTTTTTATTATACTATATAGACAAATAGTAACAAATTTTTTTATAAGTTTAAGTCTAACTTTTTAGATAAATATATTTTTTTTAAATCTCAACTTTAATTTTTTATTAAATAAACTAGATCATACCACACTTTAAACAATTTTTCCCTATTTAATATTGATTCTCGTCCTTACATATAGAGATAAAAATAAGTCAAACTTTAAATATATAGATTAGACATGTTGTGTAAAATTAAAATTAAAGTTTAAATCTGACCTATTATCTATGATAAATTTTTTTATAGGTCTGACCAAACCTTTTTAAAACTTGATTAGCTTATTAACCTATTTAAAAGCTTATTTAAATTAATAATATTAATTAAGTTAATAAATTTAATTTTAAAAAATTAATAAATTTATTTTTAAAATATAATTTACTTAGTATTATTAAAATTAATTTTTTTGAAAAAATATAAGAGAAAAATTGAATCATTTTCTGTTGAATGGATAATTCATGTATGTTGATGTACACTCATGTACAGATTGTAAGCTTATAGATCAATAATGAACAAAATAATTATATAAAAATATACTTTAAATATTGATGAATTATTTTTATTTTATAAATTTATTTATTTATATTTTTAATAATATATGTATATTAATTTCGTTATATTATATAAATAAATAGATTAATCTATCAGGTGTAACACATTTTTCTATAAATTTAAATTTGACCTTTTCAAATAAATAAACTTTTTTTAAAGGACAAAATTTAATATTTTTATTAAATAAGTAAGGTCATACTAGACTTTAAAGAAAACAAGTTATAAATTCCTAAACTTATTCTCATTGCCGCTTGTAATAATATTTAAGTATTTTTTTTTGTCATAAATAACCAAATATTGCACCTTCATATCATAAACTTTAATAGACAAGTTATTAAACATGATTATTTTTTTTTAAAAATATTTATAATAAATTAAATTTACTATACATTATTAATCAGTAATTAATTAATAAAAATATTTATCAATAAAAATAAAAATAAAATATCTTAAAGAAAAATATTATATAATTCTTTAACTTATTTTTTTAATTAATAATTAAAAATCACACATATATATATATATATATTTTTTTTTTTATTATTTTATGAATCACACTATTTATTTATTAGTTTTATTATTTGTTATCCTAAAAATATAGTTAATAATAAAAAATAGAACAAAAAGAATGAAGATAAAGACTAAAGAGTCGTGTAAAATGACATCCAATATGCAAGAAAGAAACATGAGCAAGATTTAATTCAATCCATCCGATCAGATAGTGAAATCGCACGGATGGCCACGTGCTTAACTGGGACGTGGATAGAGTTTCTGTAACTGTGGTCGCACTCTCACATGATAAGTCACCGCTTCCATGTATTCATATATAAACGTAACGGAGTGCTGCCTGCTGTGCTGACTTGGTTGGTGTGTGCTTTTCCCCCAAAAGAAGCAAACCACTCCTTGCGCCGCGCGCGGTGTTCGGAGAACCCAAACCCCAACCAACATGAAGATTAACGTCAAGACTCTCAAGGGGACTCACTTCGAAATCCAAGTTAATCCTCAAGACACGGTAATGCTATCACATGATTTTCCTTTTGTTTTCCCTTCTGATTTTCTCGCTGTTCAAGTTGTTTTCTTGGAGCTATAGTTGCATTTGTGTCAAATCAAAATGCTATTAGATATTTGGGATTGTCTTTCTCTGGAATGTTAATTTAATTTTGTTGTTTATTTGGTCTGTGAAATGTTGATTTTCTTAATATTAGGTTGCTGATGTCAAGAAAAATATAGAGGCGGTGCAAGGTGTGGATGTTTATCCTGCTGCTCAGCAAATGCTTATTCATCAGGGGAAGGTGCTTAAGGATGCCACAACCCTCGAAGAGAATAAAGTTGCTGAGAACAATTTTGTGGTGATCATGTTAAGCAAGGTGATGTTATTGTTTTGGTACCTGGTTTGTGTTGTTCTAATTTTTCAAGAATGAAGGAGTAAAGAAAAAACTTCATGTTCTCTTCCATGGAAAGGAGAAATATATGTATAAACTGTGGGATAATATTTAGATGGTCAATATATATATATATATGTATGTATGTATATATGCATGTATGTAACTTTTTTTAGTGGTTGACCACTAATTAATTTTTAATCTGGTAGCTCTCATTTTTTCATGATGAGAAGAGTAAGATTTTGAATTGTGATTTCATGCTACCCTTTAAATTATGAGAAATTTGGGGACAAATGTGGCCACAATTGCAGTTGTGTTGCAGAAACGGACATTCTAAAACCGTTGATGTTACAATTGAAATCTTGAAGTCACAAACTATTTTTTAAAACCTTGAGGACATCCCAAAACCGTTGATGTTACAATTGAAACCCTGAAGTCACAAACTGTTTTTTAAAACCTTGAAGACTCTCCAAGAGTGTTGACGTTGAAACTGCGGCGTCACAAACTGTTTTTAAAAACCTTGAGGACACCCCAAGAATGTTGAAGTTGCAATTGAAACAGTGATGTCACCAACTGTTTTTTTAAAACTGAGGACACCCCAAAAGCGCGCCTGAAATTGTGATGTCACAAACTGTTTTGTAAATCCTTGAGGACATCCAAAAAGCATTGATGTTGCAACTGAAATTGTGACGTCACAAATTGTCTTTTAAAACTTTGAGAACATTCCAAAAGCCTTGACACAGCAATTAAAATCGTGACGTCACAAGCTGTTTTTTAGAACCCTCATGATGCCCCAAAAGCCTTGACTTTACAACTGAAACTGTGATGTCATTAACTGTTCTTTAAAACTTCAAAGACACCCCAAAAGCCTTGACACTGTAATTGAAATCGTGACGTCACAAACTATTTATCAAAACATTTAAGAAAAGTCTTCACTTGATAGGACACCTCAAAATCTTGAACTTACAACTGAAGTTTTGTCGTCATAGACTGTTTTCTAAAACCTTTAAAAAGAAGAATTTTTTACTTGATACGTACACTATATTTCTTAATTGTTTTAACTATTTGAATTTATTGGGGAAGTTAGAAAGCTTGGGTTGGTATCTTTTATCTAACTGGGATACTCCTTACACAGCACTAGATGATTCAGCTTACATGGCACACTTTTGCATTGTATGATTTTCCTTTTTGAATGGTCAAGCTCAGATTTTAAGCTGTGGTCATGGTTGTGGACCTCACGGTTTCATGCAATCCTTGATATTGTGGGAAATTGGGGACAAATGTGGCTGATGTGGCCACAATTGCTGTTGCATTGTGGTTGTAGAGACCCTAAAAACCTTGATATTGCAGTCAAAAGCACGGTTGTGAAATGTTGAACTTTTGTGAATATGTTTTTTGTGGATTAAGATCCTCTATAATTTTGTGAACTCAATCATTCCTTTAATTTTAACATTTGATAATTTGATTTATAAGGGAGAGAAAAAACTTGCATGAATGGGGACTGGGGAGATCAGTAACTGCAGGGTGCAGTTCTCTTTCAAACTGCAGGAGATTCGTTTTCCATTTTCTATTGTGTTTGCAATGATTAATGCTGAAAATAAGAAGAAATCTTTTATCTACTTTTTGGTTATAGTTATTTGTGGTTGCACCATATTAAATCATACCTGCATCCTGGTTTTTTTAGAAATGCCGCATATCTGTGAAAAAGATTTTAATTTTTGCTTGTTGCATGGTTGAAGGTGGGAAATCACTTTCTAATTGCTTTTCTAGTTCCCAAAGTTTCTGGTTTGGAGTGCAAATGAGCTCCACTCCACACAACCTCCTCATTTTTTCCTTTTCCAGTGCCAAGAAAATCCGAGACTTTTTATGTGATAGTTGTATCAGTAAAGTTTTTATTGAAATTGTACTATCTCGGGAGGTGGTAATGGATATTTTTTAAAGGGGGAGAAAAAACATTGCTGGTATCCTTCCTTGTTAATTTTAGTGTTGCTTCCATTGGCTTATTGCTAAACATCTGTAGTGATCTGCCCATTGTAGAGTAAGGTATCATCATCAAGTGGAGCCTCAACTGCCTCAGCTGCAACCCCAAACCTGGTGACTACAAAAACCTTACATTTATTTATTTTTTTCTTATTTTTTGTTTTTATCAGTTGAACATTTTTACATTTATTGACTCCTCAAAACTTGAAGCTTGATGTCTTTACTTTTGTTGCAGTTGAATGGATATTTCAATGATCCTTTAATGATTTAAAAAGTAATATTGTTTCATTAAGTCTTCTCAATGTGTGTGTACATACTTGTGTTGGCATTCAAACACAATTTTATAGTGATTACGTATATACTCTTTATGCCAAGTATCTATATTTGGATATGAACTGTTTTTGGTTAATTTCTTTTAATTCATATTATTTTAATAATATTCAATTTTTGCATAAATATTTAGGTCTTGTTTTGACTTCATCCACTGACCACAATAAAACCTCATTTTTCATATTTTTTTGTTTCCTTTTACTTACTACTTACATGTTTAGGCAGCCCAACCTGAAAGTTCTTTGCCTCTTACTTCATCACCATCTCAACCTCCTGCATCGACTGTAGTACAGTGAGTTCATATTTGTTTCCCTGCTTCAAAGTTTCAGCATGATGAAATGTTCTTTTTTGGTTTCACGGAAAACTCTTTTATTTGTCCCACTTTGCTTTCAGGGGAGTATCCAATTCTGAGCAAAGTCCAGTTATAAATCCTCCCACTACGTGAGTATCTGGCATTTTCTCTATCACGGGCATCAATATGTCTTCTGTACTTAAAACATGGTTGATAATTTGTTGCAACTTTGATGTTACCAGCTGCTGCTCACTTATTTTGTAAATGATGACTTTTTGCTATCACTGCACACTATCTTACTCATGGGCTATTTTTTTCTTTCACTCTGAATAACTTAGAGATCCAAGTTCTCTTAATTTGTGTGTATTATCATTGCTATCATTATGAAGTATCTTACTCATGGGCCATTTGTTTCTTTTACTCTGAATAACTTAAAGATCCAAGTTCTCTTTATTTGTGCGTGTATTATCACTGTGTGAACTTAAATACTTTTTTTTTTGTTGTATATACCGGTTATTGCAGTGCTGTGCCCAGTACCTATGGCCTTGCAGAATCAAATCTTGTTGCTGGAGATAATTTAGAATCAACTATTCAACAAATTCTAGAAATGGGGGGAGGAAATTGGGATCGTGATACTGTTATCCGTGCTCTTCGGGCTGCATTTAACAATCCTGAAAGAGCTATTGAATATCTCTATTCTGTGAGTATCTGTGCAGACTCTGGCTTCTTTCCTTTGTAAAGTATGATGTTCCAGCTGTTAGTTTGGTACTTTGTTATCTGTTGGATGCTTTCTTTAGAGACTCCTTTGGCTACCCATGCCATTTTCAAATTTTGATTGACTATGCGGCAAAGAATTATTCTCTCAAAACTTGTGCTTTTAGTCAACTATGCTGTCTTGTGCCAGTACTGTTTTATTGATATATCTATATACACTGAAATACATGTCTCCAGCATCCTAAAGGGAAATGTTTGGGAATAGAAAAAAATTAAGATAATAAGATTGAAATCAGCTGGAGTAGATGGTTGTTTAATTTTTGAGTGTCAAACATGTGGCTTTTGTGTTATGAGATTAAATGTCTGAAACCATGGTTATGCTATAAAAAACTACTTGTAGAGGGAAAATTATGTTTTGTACCTGTTGTGTGATTTTTGTATCATAAATTATATGATTTGAAATAACTAACTAGATCATGTCATAAAGCTGTCAACATTTATCATCATATGGCCTATGTAATAGTTTTATGTGTATTTGGAGTAAGCTTCGGTGCTTATGGTTTTGTCTTGACTCCTTAAACTTTGAAGCAAATTCAGAATGTAATTGTGTCTCAATAATATTGTTTTGTTTTCATGTTTTGGCAACTTTTTTTTATTTAATCTAAAATTAATGCAAAATTTATCTGTTAGGGCATTCCTGAAC